ACTTTTGTTAACCTTTCAAAGAATCAACTTCTGGTTTATTGTATCAATTGTTTTTCTGTTATCTGATCTATTTATTTCTGCTCTAGTCTTTATTTCTTTTCTCCTGATGACTGAAGGTTTATTTTGTTGCTCTTATTCTGATTGCTAAAGATATAGCATTAAGGTTGATTTTTGGTTTCTCTTCCTTTATTATGTGTAAATTTATTTCTATAAATTATTCTCTGATCTCTGCTTTTGTTGTATCCCAAAGGTTTTGTCATATTATGTTTTTCTTCTCATTTATATAAAGGAATTTTTAACTTTCAATCCTTATCTTTTTTTTTAACTTTCAATCCTTAACAATTATTCAGGAGACTTAAAGCCGAATCTTCTTCATTTTCCAAGTATTTGACTTTTTTCCCCACTTGTTCATCCAATTGCTGATTTCTCATATTATTATAGCATTGTGGTCTGATAAGAGCATTTGTAATATCTCAATGTTTTTAATTTATTAAAGCATGCTTTATTGTTGATGTGTGCTGTCAGGTCAGTTCTGACTCATACTGACCCTGTGGCACAACAGAACAAAACACTGCCTGTCCCTGATTCATCCTCACAATTGAACCCATTGGTGTAGCCACTGTATCAATCCGTTTTGTCGAGCATCTTCCTCTTGATTGCTGCCCTTCTACTTGACCAAGCATGATACCCTTTCCAAGGGCTAGTTTCTCTGATAACATGTTCAAAGTACATGGGGTGAAGTCTCAACATTCTTCCTCTAAGGAGCATTCTGGCAATGCTTCCTTTCACTATTCTTTGCAAGCTCCATAATTCAAATGCAATGATTCTGCTTCAGTCTTCCTTATTCAATATTCAAGTTCCATATGAATGACAAAATCCTTGTTCTCTGCAGTTCAGGTAAGAGCCCACCCAAACTGCACCTTATTTTTGACCTTGTTTTGTTGCAGTTTTTATTATCCCTTTCTTGCACTACAAGAAGAAGACATCTGTCTCCATACGACCCAGCCACCTTTCCATCTCTAACAGCTGCATCATGATGTTACAAAGATGGTAGTTAATATTTGGTCCACACAATCCCCTCACAGAAGGGTCGCGGGAAGGAGGCGAACCAATCAGAGTGCAGGGTAGCAACGATGAAACATACAACTTTCCTCTAGTTCTTAAATGCTTCCTCCCCCCACTATCATGATACCAGTTCTACCTTACAAATCTGGCTGGACCAGAGGTAAAGATAGGAACTGGAAACACAGGCAATCCAGAACAGATGATCCCTTCAGGACCATTAATGAGAGATGTGATACTGGGAGGGTGGAGGGAAAGTGGAGTGGAAATGGGGAACCGATTACAAGGATCTGCACATAACCTCCTCCCTGGGGGATGGACAACAGAAAAGTGGGTGAAGGGCGACCTCGGACAGGGTAAGATATGACAAAATAATAATAATTTATAAATTATCAAGGGTTCATGAGGGAATGTGAAGGGGGGGGGGGATGAGGAGCTGATGCCAGGGGCTTACATGGAGAGCAAATGTTTTGAGAATGATGAGGGTAACGAATGTACAAATGTGCTTTATACAATTGATGTATGTATGGATTGTGATATGAGTTGTATGATCCCCCAATAAAATGGTTTTTTTTAAAAAAGAACTAGAAAAAAAATTTGGTCCACACAAAGAAACAGGAAAGGAAGACAAAAACAAGTAAAAAATATCAAGATCCAAAAGAATTATCTGAAGAAGAGGCTCTGGACCCACCAGAAAAAGAATTCAGAAGAATGAATTCACAGGATAGAAAATACCATGGAAGAGACTAGCATAAGGCAAAGTTTCATTCTGTTACATATGAGGTGGCCCTAAGTTGGGTGGGCTCAACTAAAATCTAATTACAACAACAATAAAACCAAATAAACAAGATAGCGATGAGATTGTTAGGTTGGAAATTTGGGAACCTGACTTCTTGTCCCATCTATATTATTAATGTGTGATGTAATCTTTGACAACTCATTTCAACCTCTCTCACTTTCAGTTTTGTTCTGTCAAATGAAGACATTGATAAGAGTTGGTTGTATAGATGAACTCACCTACGAAATGAGGGACTTGACAATTTCTATACATAGGTAAGGTAATATCAGTGAGTGCATAGGGTATAAAACCAGGTCATAAGTTGGCCTTGTTAAGTCCACCAGCAGATGTTGTCAATTCTCCATATAGATCTCCTTAAGCTCCTTGTTCTAGTTTTCAATTTATCCTACCACTTATTTGAACTTCTCTCCTAATGTTTTGCCCTTCAGAGAACATTCCCTCTGTTACTATAGCTATGAGGATGAGCTGAGGACAAGAGGTGCCTGGAAGTGTACAGCCTATTGAGCAACAATCAATCCTAGGCAGCCAACAAGCCCTATGGGATCTGGCTTGGGTTGTAGCTTCACCTGAAATTGAACATGGGCCCGATTTTTAACTTCCTTCTTTCCTCATCCTATTTTAGGTTTCTCTTGGAAGTCTTTCAAACTGTATCTCAAGGTCTTCTTCTGAGACCCTGACCCAAGACTACTACTCCCATCCTTACTTAAAATGTAACTAAATAAATATCTAACAATATTCTTCCCCTTACTGAGTCTGTTCCTCCCCCTACCATTCCTATCTTATTTTTACCAGTTGTTCAGACTACTTTTAGCTCCTTTTTTTCCTCAAACCCACACCACATCAATTCCAACAAAAAATCTGGGAAATATTACTGTAACAGTTTCCTGTGGGGGGTTTAACAAATTACCACAAACTAGATGACTTTAAACAACTTTCCTCACAGTTCGCAAGACTAGAAGCACTCTCTGGAATGTCTAGGCGAGAGTCCCTTCATTGCATGTTTTAGCCCCTAGTGGCTATGGCATTCCTTGAATAGTGGCCACATTAATAAAATCTATACCTCTCCCTCTATCTGTTGATCTCCCTGCTGTGTCTTTTGTAAGAATACTTATCATTGGGTTTAGGGCCTACCCAGATAATCCAAAATATTTTCTTCATCATCATCCTCTCTCTTCTGGCCTAGAACATAGTCTCCCTAATCATCTCTCTAAATCTACTCTGGTCTTTTCAAAAACGTGTTCCTCAAAAGTCAACCAGAGTCATCCTTTTAGATCTTAAATCCAATTATTCAGCTCAGAAATTCCAAAAACCTTTATGCCATGTTGTTTTGTCTGATATGATTTGGTCTCTGTATACCTCACCATCTATTATTATCTACAACCTTCTTCCATGGCCCAGGTTCTCTTGCTTGGTTGCTCTTCTTTCAGAATGCTCAGAGGTCCTCAGATTTGCCTTCTCCTCTAGCTGGACCTCTTGGCTCCATTACAACTCCCTGATTCCTTTCATTTAATTTAAGATTCCACTCACTCAGACCTCACTTCTCCAGAGGTCTGTCCAAAACACCTTATCCAAAATAGCACCTGCTCCAATTCTCTATATTCACCTTTCTCCTAGCACTTAAAGAATAGAACATTTATATGTGTGTGTGTGTTCATTTTCTGCTACCTGAGAGCAATGACTTTTTTTCTCCTCTGCTCCACAATTACAATCTAGAACAATGCCTGGCTTACTCAAAAACAAACTCAAAAACACACAGGGTGATGTGCTTCTTCCACATGGCTTTGTTGCTTCTGAGGTAGATGGCCACTTGTTTACCTTCAAGTCTTTAAGCCCTAGGAACTATATCTTTTGATAGCCAGGCTCCATCAGCTTTCTTCACCACATTTGCTTATACATCCGCTTTGTCTTCAGCAATTGTGTCAGGAAGGTGAGCATCCTGGAATGCCAGTTTAATAAAACAAAGTATTCTTGCATTGAGGGAGTACTTGAGTCAAGGCCCAATGTCCATTTGCTATCTTAATACTAAACCTACAAATATATGACTTGAATATATGACTATATGACTATAAATATATGAATTGAGTATAAATATATGAAATAGACCTATTTCCCCATCATCATATATAAATATATTTACATATGTACATGCCTTTATTTAGACCTCTATAAATACCCTTTGCCTCCTAACTCTTTCCTCTATTTCCTTTGACTTTCCTCCTGTCCCACTATCATGCTCAGTCCCCACCAGGGTTTCAGTTATTCCTCTTGGTTACATTGCCCTTGATCACGCCCTACTAGGCCTCCTACACCCTCCTCACCACCAATTTGGATCACTTGTTGTTCCCTTGTCCCTGGGTTTGTTAACACCACTTCCTTTCTCCCCACCTCCCCCTCTCCCATGTCCCCCGGGAACCGTTGGTCCCATTGTTTTCTCCTGCAGTTCATCCAGACTCTCTTATTTAGACAGACCAGCAGAGATAATAACATGCACAAAAACAAGACAGAACAAAACAAAACAACAACAAAAAAGCCTGTAGTTAGTTCAAGGACTGTTTGTTGGCCTTTAGGAGTATTTTCCGGTTGAGTCTGATGGGGTGCCATTCCCTGGCCCCAAAGTCTATTTTTGGTATTCCTTAGGGACTTCATTGCTCTTTTCCCCTTGCTGTTCTGTTGCACACCCTTAGTGTTTGCCTCGGGGTGGTGGGATCAAACAGGGTGCAGTTCCCACACTGTGTCTCCAGGTCAAGTCAATCCTTAACAAATACTTTTTACTGGAATAAATGAATGTAAAGGATTTTTCTGAACAGGGTCACCTTTACTGTTCATCTGTCAAACTGACCACTGACGCTTTGTCAACTAAAGTCCATGTGAAAGTAATATCTCTGTTCAAGTGAGAAATGAGCACATTAAAACATTTTTATTCCCCTTTCCGCCCACTCCCCACTGCCCGCGAGCGCCCCTCCAGCCGCACTGTGCTCGCTCAGGGCTCTGGGCTCCTCCTAAGCTAGCGCTGCCGCTGTCTCCCATAGCTGCCATCATGATCATCTCCTGGGACCTCATCAGCCATGATGAGATGTTCTCCGACATCTAAAAGATCCGGGAGATCGCAAACGGGCTATGTCTGGAAGTGGAGGGGAAGATGGTCAGTAGGAGTGAAGGTAACATCGATGACTCGCTCATTAGTGCTAACGCCTCAGCTGAAGGCCCCAATGGCGATGGGACAGAAAGCACAGTGGTCAATCGTGTTGATATTGTCATGAACCATCACTTTCAGGAGACCAGCTTCACCAAAGAAGCCTACAAGAAGTACTGCATGAAAGCCTACATGAAATCCATCAAAGGCAAACTACAAGAGCAGAAACCAGAAAGAGTAAAGCCATTTATGACAGGGGCTGCAGAACAAATCAAGCACATCCTTGCAAATTTCAAAAATGACCAGTTCTTTATTGGTGAGAACATGAATCCAGATGACATGGTTGCTCTGCTGGACTACCGTGAAGATGGTGTGCCCCCATATATGATCTTCTTTAAGGATGGCTGAGAGATGGAGACATGTTAAAACAGTGGGCAACTCATGATTGATGCCTCTCACCCTAACCGGCTGCTGTTCATCCACACAACAACAGGACTGAGACAAATGGAACTGATGTCATCGTGAGCTCTTCATTCACTTTGACCTTGATTTATTTGGAGCGGAGGCTTTGTTTTTCAAAGGAAAAAGAAACATTTTGTGTAGGTTGTCTAAAAATAAAATGCATGAAAACTCATGCGTTGAGAATGCCTCCTAGTTGACTATCAGTAAACTAAATTCACCTCGTAGTGCTCCTGGAGAAGTCAGAGCCACGTGTAGACCGTTGCAGTGTGAGGCTGTCTCCAGAGGCCTGCTACAGCCAAACTACAGGGATCCAAATAGAGACAAGAATCCAAAGGCTTAATTTTGAGTTTAAATAAAGGGAGTGACCATGTTCTTAGCGGTGCCAGCATCTGAAGTGGATCCTTAAGCATTTCATCACCTAAAAATGGAAGAGATTATCCAAAGAATACAGATACTAATACAATTGGGGGGGGGGGACATTTTTATTGAAGTATCACTGTATTACTTTTACCGTTTAATAGACCAGTGTCACAAAAACCATGCATGAGAATTACATAGTTCATTGTTGTGTTGATATTATCATAATTACCATGCAGACATGGAGATAAATCCAGATCTCCTACTCTCCAGAAATCTGGAAAATGACCTTTCTAACAACTGATTTGAGTTCTCTGTAATGGCTAATCCCACTGAAATTATTTATTAACAAATCACTGAGCATTTATTTTGCTCATAGACACCCAATTAAGAAAGAAAACGAAACAACAAAGAAGTTCTATTCCAAAGGAACATGTTCAATGGATGTGAACAAATACATAACTAATGTACAAAATTAAGTAAAGAAATGAAAACACAAGTGTTAAGTGATAGAGTAAGTACAATTGAGGGAAGTAGTTAGAAATGTTAGATTAATTTCACATTTTTTCACCATATCAAAAAACCCTGATTCTAGGCATGACAGGCATCTCTCTCAACTCCAAACTCCACCATCCTTTCCTGCAGACTCACATTTGCAAACACCGGCAGGGACTGCGTACCCAGGAAGAAAGGCAAGTGTGAGCTGACTTGTGCTTACTTGTGGATAATTTCACATCATTTTTACCACAGCAGAGATAAGAGTCGCCAGGAAATCTGGTGAAAATCTAGATTCTGGTTAGTGTTTTTGGGGTGGAAATGCAAACCCTAAGCAGGGAGTCAAACCAGAATGAACTAGTTCAAAGCCCTGAAACCGATAACTTTTCTTGTATCCTTTTTCCTACTATTTTTAACAGTTTTATTGATATACAATCCACATACCAAACAACTCAATGGTAGAAATATATATATTTTTAAGTAATGTAGTCATCACCACAATCAACTTCAGAGCATTTTCTTGTATCCATTATTGTTAGCTTCCCCATTAGCCCCTGAACCTTTCCCTGTAATAACCCTAAGGAAATATTGATCTAATTAATAGTTTTCTAGGGATTTAAGTTAAATTTTAACCTAGTAATATTTGTAATAATATACTTTCCAATGCCCACTATCTGAGGGCAAGGTTATTCACATTCCTGGTCAGTGGCCCGAGGGAATTCAATGGAAGTTTAATCTGTGTAGGGACTCATCAAATGAATGTTGGGCTTTCACTGTCATTCATGGCTTTCTGAAAACCAGGTACTCATAATTAAAGCTCTACTATAACTCCATCTTCTTATCTTGGATTTTATTATTTCTAATCCTTAGGTCACCTAGGTTGGTTTGCTTCTTCTGTGTGGACATACCCACTGAGTTAGTTAATTGTGCCAGCCTGGCCGATATCACATGTGGTGCTGGTTGAAAGGCGGAGGGATAAATGGGTGGTGAAGCCTCGCCTTTCTAGTTCTCGGGTCTCTTGTTTTGTGATGGTTGCATCGGG